TGAGTACAGCGGCAAAATGATAGATTAACAGAATTGGGACGACAAACACGCCAGCCTTTGGCTTAAAAATTTTACAGCTTGACCTCTCATTCTGTCCTTATCCGGAGAAGAAGCTTAAAGGACAGTCAATCTCCTGATGCAGACAGAAGACAGAGCAAAACCGGGGACTTGAAGAATTAACAGCAGGCAAAAGACAGTGCAACTGACCTATAACACTGAAGACTCCAGCAGCAGCATGTAAGAAAACATTTGATGGAACATGAACTCTGAATTACATGCTGGGAAGAACAGTGCGATAAATAATTGTGTGAAAGCACTGGACAGCACTGGAAACTGAGTTTCATATTTGCCATGCTGGGAGTGAACCTGAAATAAAGAAAAGACTGAAAAGATCAAGAGAGAAGCAATGGAGAGAAGAAACGCCTGATTTGGGCCTGTGTTGATCTGTGAGGCCACACAGGAAACTGTGAGAAGAGGGACAAGGACCAGTGAGAGGTCAAGCCCGGACGAGTTCGAGTGAGAGCGTATGGGGAATTGGATTGAAAATCGAGGCTGAACTGTTGGAGGTTTAGCAATGTCCAGAGCATTATAACAGAAAGGTAAATTTAAAAAAAAAAAAAAGGAGAGAGAAAAAAATACATAAGGTATTAATTACATGAATGAATAGAAAACACACATACACAAATTGTTACATGTGAAATTATTTTTGGAGAGAATCAGAAGTGAGATAGTTTGAATCCAGAGCTCAGTGCAAAGATGCATGAATTAAACCTGATTATAAAAAACACATCAAGGCAATGAAGATCAGCTTACACTCAATCTTAATATGAATACAAATACATAGACGCAACGAAGACACGCTTACACTTATGTGAATACATGACATAAATTGGTGTTTCTGCCTGGAGAGAGAGATGTGTGTTGTTTAAGCAGTGAAGATAATAATGAAAATGTCTTAGTTTTGTCACTTTTAGGTGCAAAGCAGACCTGGATCAATTTTCCACATGCAGCAGTGGAAGAAAGTTATAGGTTAACATCACTGGAAACATTCAGGCCAAGTTTCTGGTTGAATTGTTTACAACGCCGTGTGTCACTAAACCTGACAAGCGAGCTCTCACTCCTGGCTGAAGACAAGGAATGCAGTTCCAAAGAGCAATAACATGGCAGTTCAAGAGAGACAGTGGAGAATGCAGGACAAAGCGGAAAGAGAACTGCCTGGGTTTGGACTGTTGAAGTGGAAGAGGACAACGGACTGGGAGCAGTAGGTGAGAACACAGAGGAATGCTGTTATTTAATGTGGGAAATCAAAATTTGGGTTAGCAAACCTGGGAAAAAGAAAACTGACTGCTTAAGTGGGAAAATAGTGAAGGAGTCTGAAACACTGCAAAAAGAAACATATACAAAATTACACACACAAACAGAAAATGTATTAACCTTACTAACACTTACAAAAACAAGAGAGCTCATGAAGATTAGACAGCATCTTGAGCATGTGAGACTGTTTATCATCTTGTCCAAGTCGCTTAGTGTGATGAAAAAGTAATACAAAGACCATTGGACTAATAGCAAAGTAGTTAAAAAATGATCAGATTATAGCAGAGAAAGGTGTAGGAAAGGCAGCTTTGAGAACATGCCCTGGTGGATCTGCAGCTCCACTGCACAGACATTGATTAAACCTGACTAATAACACACACACATGCAATGAAAATCAGCTTACTATCTTTCATCAGTGTTAAAACAGTGTGAATTTAACACACTTAAACCCTGAACTTGAGGAATAACTCAGGGAAGTTCCATGAAATAGAGTGATTTTTGTGAAAAGGAAAAAGTGATTAAAGCTTAAAGTAGTTTTTAGAATAGTGAATTAGAAGTGCTCTTGTACAGATTGATCAAAACAAGTGATTACTGTAGAAAGAAAACAAAAATAATTCAATAATGTGGTAATGTTTAAATATGCATTTCTCTTGTCACGGCAACTTCTTGAGATATGACTCGGTATGCAAATTAGTTGAATGACTGGGGACAGGAAAAGAAAAAGAAGAACTTGGGTTTCCTGTCTGACTGTATGAGTGGAGCTTGCACTGAAAGAGACACTGTGACTGTGTGAGAATAAAGGCTTGGTAACAGACAGGATAATTAAATAAAGTGGTCAGTGCAGTAGTCTAAGTGCAGTAGTCCAGATTTGGAAAAGAAATTTAGAATTTAGGTATGATAGATTGTTTAGAGAGGGCTTAATGAGAATATCAATGGTGTGCAAAACTGTGGCTTTTAACAAGATTTTCTGTGTATTTAGCAGGTGAAATTATGTCAGTTGGCCTCAGACTGTCAGTCGCTGAAGAACCTGAGGCAAAACGTTTCTGTGATTAAGATTTTTGGGTTTGTTGTTTGAGTGATGGGCTGATTCTGACAGTTAGGTTTGGGTGGTTCTTATTTTAATAGAGGGAGTTTTATTAATCATGGACGTGGGTAGAACTGGGCCCTTTAAAATTGTAACAGTGCACTTAAGAGAAAACCTGTCAGGTGATTATGTTTTGTGTTTTGATGAGCTACTAATCAGCTCTCTTTTTCTCATTTTTGTGCTAAGCAGGCCTGACAGAGTGAATTAACAGCGCTGTAAAAATTTCCGTGAGAACAAATATAAGGTGAGCTTTTCCAGATTACAATGGGCTGAGGAAAAGGCTACCTGTGGGGACCTGATCAGGTTGTAAGTCCCTGTCTAAAAGGATTGCAGCGAGTCAATCCAGTCCAAGAGCATAAAGAACTCTTTTCCTAAAAAACCAAAAAATAAATAAAACAAATGAATGAGCTCATGTTGCTGAGGGTGGAGAATCTGATTATTTGCGTGGGAGTCTCCACTATCAGCAATATCTGGTGTGAATGCGCGTGAGTGAATGTGTGTGACTGGACTGACGATGTGGACTAGAGGTTGGACTGACTGGACACTGGGGCTGCTAATTTTGGGTTGTTGATGTTTGCTTGAAGAAAATTCTGTTTTGTTGACTGGGTTTAGATTATGGTATATTTTGTTGGGAGAATGTCAAATGCTAAAGGGGAGGACATTTTTAATATTACTCATGTTACCATTAACCAAAGCAGGCCACTGTAGAAGTCAATTAAGAAGTACTCGTACGTATTTGTAACACTTTTGAGACAAATTTTGCTATAAAGAAAATTCCAGGTTTAGTGTTTCTAAGGTCTTTGTGCTCTCCAACATCTCAAGTAAAGATTTGAGGAAATGATTAGTTGCACAAATCATGAGAGAATCTGTTTGGTTTCTTGACATGATGGTGCAGCTTTAGAGCTGAACAACATTTGAGAAGTCAAAACAAACAGAAAATGTGACAGCAAAACTTTCCCTTCACGTTTGAAAAACAACCCAAACAAAGCTGCTCAACATGACTGAAATATCAAAGAAACACATGAAGTCTGTTTCCTGGCTGATAATCACATTAAAAGTCTCTGCTTAGCCACCAGCTCTCACCTGCTGACAGAGGCAGAACAAAACCTGAAAAACCAGAACTTCAGGATCAGAATTCGAAAAGTGAAACTGAAAGAACTTTAAAATCTGTTTCTTTTAAACAAGAATCAAACTGAGCTCATCCAGCCGTTCTCAACAGCACAGTAGAGATTCTGTCCAACACTGGTGAGTACAGACAATCACGATCACACTGTTTTAAAATCCAGATGTTCAGTCTCATCTCTTTATGACTTAGAATACTTCTGCATCAACACAGGATTACGGACTAGGAGTAAAAACAAACAAATATAAAGACAGTAAATGAAAGTAAATTTTTGTTTCACAGCAGTTTCAGTGCGGAAAATCTGTTTCTCCTCAAAGGAACCTTAAACTGAGCTCATCCAGCCTTTCTGAGCAGCACAGCAGAGCTTCTGTCCAACACTGGTGAGTACAGACGATCACGATCACACTGTTTTAAATTTAAACTCTCTCTGTGTCAGGAACAATAACTGTAACACTGCTGCAACTGGTGTGTTTCACATTTTCAAAAGTTCAAAGGATGACATAAGAGCTGATTTAATATCAGCACTGATCAGATTACATTTGTTGGACAGAGAAAAGACGTTTACAGTTAAAATCTCTAATTTCAGGGTCTGATAAGATCCCCACTTTGTGCCTGACACACCTGCAGGGAGAGGCGGAGATTCAACTGAGTCTATCAGATTTTTCTCAACAACACAACAAACAGCAGTGAGTGCAGCTGATCACGTTCATGTTTCAATGCTCTGTTCATGTCATGCTGACTCTTTTTGTTAGAGCCATCGTCTCCAAGCTTCTTCTTGCACATGGTCACCACAGCCATTTCCATCCTTTTGGCAAAATGCTCCACCATCTGTCCTTCCTCGTTTCTCTCATTAACACCATACCTGCCCAACACCTGATAACCTCTGCCTCCTTCACCTACATGTCAATTAAAGTCTGCTCTAAACACCACTCTCCTCCCCACTGAGGACACTCTCTGCCACTTTATCCAAGTTACTCCAGAATGTCTCTAACTGACATCGAACCTGCGGGGCACTCACGCTGACAGCATTCAACATCACCCATTTGATTTCTTGTTTCAAACTAATGATCCTGTCTAACACAGATGGCTGGTATTGTCCTCATATGGATCTAAGAGTAAAAAAAACCCTGTGAAACTGAGTGTTGGTCGTGTTTAACATGACCATCCACCAATGGAAGAGGAGACATGAGACAGAAGGAAGTAAAAGCAGAACAAGTCCACTTTAAATATGAGTAAAACTGAATTGTGCATAAAATAATTTCATTTTCTTTCTTTCAGACATGTCTGCTGCCAGCTGTCTTCTATCTGAAGATCAGTTTCTGTGCTCCATCTGTCTGGATGTCTTCACTGATCCAGTCTCCACACCATGTGGACACAACTTCTGCAAAAACTGCATCAGTCAACACTGGGATATCAGTGACAGGTGTCAGTGTCCTGTGTGTAAAAATGTGTTTGAGATCAGAAATGAGCTGGGGGAAATCTCTGAGCGGATGAAGAGAAGCTCTGAGGTGGAGCAGCTCTCACTCTCTAAAGACCACCTCCACCTCATTCAAAGCTTCTCATGCCTACAAATTGCTCCAACCAGCAATGACTGGACAGAGCTCAGTTTCCATCCACTATCATATGAGCTGTTTGAGGCTGAGCTGAAGAGGGTCCAGCAGTATGCAGTGGATATGACTCTTGATCCTGATACAGCACATCCTAAACTCATCCTGTCTGATGATGGGAAACAAGTACACTGTGGTGATAAAAGGAAGCAACATCCAGACAACCCAGAGACATTTTTTAAAGGTGTTTGTGTTTTAGCAAAGCAGAGTCTCTCTTCAGGCAGATTATACTTTGAAATTCAGGTTAAAGAAAAGACCAAATGGTTTTTAGGGGTGGTCAGAGAGTCAATCAACAGGAAGGAAGACCCCAATCCGAGTCCTGCGAATGGTTACTGGACAGTAATTTTAGGTAAAAATAGTTTTTTAGCTCTTGACAACCTTCCAGTCCATCTTCCTCTTCACGGTCCTGAGAAGGTGGGGGTGTTTGTGGATTATGAGGAGGGTCTGGTCTCCTTTTATGACGTAGATCACGCAGCTCTTATCTACTCCTTTACTGGCTGCTCCTTTACCGGGAAACTCTACCCATTCTTCTGTCCCGGTAATAATGATGATGGTAACAACTCAGCGCCGCTGATCATCTGTCCTGTCAATCAGCAGGTCTGATCTTTTTACATGAGGAAATTGGATCAATTATAGGTTAAGCTCATTATTTTAACTAACACAAAGAAGAAGTCCTATAAACAGAACTTGGCAAACTGCACCTTCTGAAGATTATGAGATTCACTCAGAAGCTGCAGAAGTTGAATGTTAGTTGATATCTATTTATTTTTTTAATCCGTTTGCAAGTTGAAGAAAATGATCCATTTGAGGAAATACAGTGTGAGTAAATAGAAACTCTCCTTTTCTTTTTTTTTTTTCAATGTTTAAAGGCACACATATGAGTACAAATGTTAACATTTTATTATTTTAATGGACCTGGTGTTATATCAATATCAAAGTCAGGATGGAGACACTGTTCCTCTGTTCTACTACAACACACTTGTTCATAATCACATAAATATAAATCTGAACTTTTATCGTCTCCTTTGATGATCATCAGCTGCTGAACTTTAGTCATCTTACCTCTGAAGTGACAGGAGAATGAGCTGCTGTTTTGAATCAATAATACTATTTTAACTATCATACACGTCATAAATGCATTTGTACCATGATTTTTATGTTTAGTTTCAAGACTGCGAAACTTGATCAGAACATAATGACACCCACGGCCCGCGAACACCTTCAACTCGTCCTTTTTCCTTCTCAACCCTGCCATTCGTTCATGATGCAAATGTAAAGTTGTGGTATTGGTACTTAAACATTTAGCTAGCTAAGTCTTAAATCATTACTCTTTCTCTCTGGTGTTCAGCCTAAATGTAAATGTTAATGCAGCAGTTGGAGTAAAAATCCAGCAGAGGGCGCTCTGAGCCAGGGCAGCACTGTCACTGCTGTGCATTATTTAAACCATTAAACTCATGCGTGCATTTGATTAATGATTATTCAGGTCATCAGAGCTGTTGTTGTGTTTCACTCTGAATAAGATGATGCCCTCTAAATTAAAAGCATAATAAAGTTTAACATTAGTTTAGACATTAGTTTTGTTTCAGTGGAGAATAATGAAATAAGTTGCTGTAATTCTTTTCTGCTGTTGCTGTTAGCTAGGGTTGCCAACTCCCTGAGAAATAAATAAGGGACACCTCGTGGCCAGGGCCGGGTGACCCAGTTGTCTTCACCCTTCCCAGTGTGGTGAATTTTTTAGCTCTTTTTTTTGTGTGTGAAATTATTTTTTTAACCATTTGACTTGTGCTGTCAGCTCATTGGTCACAAAGCAGGAGCGGGGCTGGGAATTATGTTTTCAAACAAAGCGTTAATTACATTAAAACTTATAGACTACTTTTGATTCTCACTGTATTACGGGACAAAGTGCGTCCCTTTTCAGCTCAATACGGGACGTGTACTTTTGTTTCTAAATACGGGACGATTCCGTTTTTTAAGGGACGGTTGGCAACCCTACTGTTAGCGCTCTCATTTGTCACTGAGGCCCTGACTGTTAAATACACTGAATGAAATAGCACCTCAGTAAATACTGTGTGTATAATAAGTGGTGAAACGCAGTGCTGTCTGAGAGTCGATGCTGAGTTTGTCTCAAAGCTGTTTCAGTTCATTTTAAATGCTGTCATCGATGTTCTGACACCCCGAAAGATGAAAACCAAACCAATAACTCTGTTAATCTCTTATTGTGTAAAACTTAATTAATAAAATATTTCCACATAATCTAATTCAGTTTCTCTTGTTTAATACTAACAATTATATTGGTGTTTTGTGGGGAAAAAAGAAAAATTAAAAGAAGAAATTCATGGTCTTTGGTTAGATTAAAAGTCTTTGACAGTCAAAATTATCATACACTTACAAGAGGCAGTTTGTAGTAGATGTATATATCTGATAGATACATCAGAGAGAAGAACCATAGAATCTTACTCGTCTTCCTCACTTTTCTCATGGTCAAGTTTGATTTGGCTCCGCCATTATAATGCCCCAAACCGAGAGCTCTCTCTGCAGTAGAGTACCATTTCATGTTTTTGTTACAGAGCACAGTGGCGTCTTTGTGTAGCTCATCTGTGTAGCCAATTAAAACAAACAAACAAACATAGATAACGTTTTATTTCATAGTGTAATCTTCAAGGCTTTTTCTGTAGCACAGTCTCCTTTGATTCATCTGCTAGTTATATTCACAATATTCATTCATTCATTTTGTCTATAGGATTCACTAGCAGTATGGCTTCTTCACCTGTCCCTCTTCTACTTTCCTGCTCAGTGTGTCAGATGCTTGCTACTCCTTGACTTCCTTTAGTAATAACAATACTTGTGATAAATATAACCTGTTTGCAGCTCTGCAGGCCAGGATCACTGATTTGGAGTCCTGGCTTCACAGCCTTGAAATACCTGTAGCTAGCCAGGCTCCTGTAGTCGGTGCAGTTGAAGGTAGCATAGCAACCATTAGATCTCCCACAGCAGGGTGACAGTGAGGAGGAAGCGTGGTCTAAACAGAAACCACTGGAACACCACTATCTATCTGTCTATTGCTCTACTAATTTTGCCCCGCTCTGCTACACACCCACAAACAGCCAAAATAGGCTACACTGAGGGTAACCTAACACTACTGGCTAAGGGTAAACATAACTTCCATAAAATTACAATTCACATCAGCAGCAATGACACCTGGTTACAACAATCACTAAAAATTTATATTGAATCCTGTGTAATTTTGCCAAAACAATGTCGGACTTGGTTGGTTTTCCTGGTCCCCTTCCCAGAGTGACATGTTTAGCCGCATGGTCTCCTTAAATTGCTGGCTGTCTGAGTGGTGTCCAGAAAACAACGTGGGCTTTATAGATAATTGGCAAACTTTCTGGAGGAAACGTGGTCTTGTTGGGAGAGACAGTATCCGTCCTACTCTGGGTGCAGCAGCTCTCATTTCTACAAATCTGGCCAAATTTATTAAACCCCCCAAAATGTGACAATCCAGAGTTAGGACCAGGAAGAAGAGTTGCAGTTTTACACACCTCTCTGCAGCTTCTCTCCTCCTGTTATCAACTCATCCCCTTAGAGACTATGTATACTCAAAAAAGAAAAATAAACAAACCAAAAATCATCAATAAATGAGTTAAACATAAAAATCTCAAAGAACAATATATTTGCACCAAAGACTAAAACAGTAAAATGGGATTATCAAACATTAGGTCTCCCTCTTCTAAGTGTCTGTTAGTACATGAATTAATAAGTAATTAACAAAGTGATTTACTCTGCCTGACAGAAACCTGGGTACAGCAGGATAATTATGTTAGCTTAAATGAATCAATACCCCTGAGTCATACTAATTCTCAGAATCCTCGAAGTGCAGGCCGAGGAGGGGGTGTGGCAGCAATCTTCCACTCTAAGATATTAATCAACCACGAGACCCACACAGAGTTTAAATTTATTTGAAAGCCTGACACCCAGCCTTGACCACCCTATCTGGAAAACTCAAAAGTCTGATTTCTTCTTTGGAACCAGCTTCCGGTGTGAAATCAGGAGACAGACACCATCCCTACCTTTAAGATTAGGCTCAAAACTTTCCTTTTTGATAAAGCATATAGTTAGGGCTGGATCAGGTGACCCTGAATCCTCCCTTAATTACGCTGTAATAGGTCTGTGCTGCTGGGGGATTCCCATGATGTGTGAAATGTTTCTTCTTCAGTCACCTTTTTCACTCAGTATGTGTTTATACACCTCTGCATTTAATTATTAGTTATTATAAATCTCTGGCTCTCTTCCTCAGCATGTCTTTGTCCAGTCTTCCTCCCCTCACCCCCAACTGGTCACGGCACATGACCGCACCTCCCTGAGCCTGGTTCTGCTGGAGGTTTCTTCCTGTTAAAAGGGAGTTTTTCCTTCCTCCTGTCGCCAAAACACTTGCTCACATCGGGGTCATAGATTGTTGGGTTTTTCTCTGTATCTATAAAGCACGTTGAGGCAACGTTTGTTGTGATTTGGCACTGTACATTTGAAACTGAATTGAAAAGTAATATTTTCTAGTGTTTGTTTGTTTTTTCTAAGTTGGAAAAAGGGACACAGTCCAAATCATATTTTTTAGAAATGTAAGAGGAAACTGAATAGTGTAACATTCTTGATGCACACCAATACAGCCCATAACACAAATATAAAAAACACATTAGACAATATAACCTGTTCCCGTACAATTACAGTGTATTTACAACATAAGATGGAGAATTTCTGTTTGTTGTTGTTGTTGTTTCCACTAAAACCTGAAATTAATTAATAAATTATTTAAATACTACTTAAAAATTACTCAGACCCTACATAAAATGACTAATAGTATAATTTCTGTTTGCTTTCCTCTAAAATACTCAGAAGATACGTACTACTTAAAATTGCTTATTCACTCCTTCTAATGGACAGAACACAGAGAGTCAGGATTATACAGTAGAAGTCATTATTAGCCCCTATTTTCAGTGTATAAACCACTAAGTTTTTCTAGGTACAAACAAGTACATTGTAGTTTCAAGTAAAATACATGGAAATTCCACTTGATTCTAGGGAAATTAAACCCTTTGTCATTGAGCGTATTATAAAGTGTTACCTTACCCACCACCTGTCAGAGGTGGAGCAACACCTGAAAGACGAGGGCTTCAGTGTCAGAGGCAAGACCTGAAACTTAAAGCGAGAGCTGCTGCTCAGCAAATCTGTTTCTCCTCAAAGGAACCTTAAACTGAGCTCATCCAGCCTTTCTGAGCAGCACAGCAGAGCTTCTGTCCAACACTGGTGAGTACAGATATCATGATCACGCTGTTTAAAACTGAAACGCTCTCTGTGTCAGGAACAATAACTGTAACACTGCTGCAGCTGGTGTGTTTCACATTTTTTCTAAATTATGAAATAAGAGTTGATTTAATAGCAGCACTGATCAGATTACATTTGTTGGACAGAGAAAAGACGTTTACAGTTAAAATCTCTAATTTCAGGGTCTGATAAGCTCCCCACTTTGTGCCTGACACACCTGCAGGGAGAGGCAGAGATTCAACTGAGTCTATCAGATTTTCCTCAACAACACAGCAGAGTCTCTACAAACAGCAGTGAGTGCAGCTGATCACATTCAACACTCTATTCATTTCATGCTGATTCGTCACAGTCACACTGGTTCCAATAGAAACGTGATCATTCATCTACGGATCGACTGTGCAAACATTTAGCTCTGTCACTTCTTTGGACTTTGGAAGTGAATTACATTTGGACTTCAGTCTGCCTGCTTTATTACTGCTTACTCATCACTTCCTGTACTCATTGTTTCTATTTGTTTTAGCTGTTTTGCAATAAAAGCAAAGCAGCGGATTCATTTTATTGTGAAGAAGTGAGAGGAAGTACAGTGTGTACAGTAGCTCTGCATGATTCAGTTTAAAATGATCCTTTATTTGATCTGGGCTTAAATTTGTAATGTCATAGTTTTGAGATGTGGAAACAGCATCACACCACATGCCAAACCCTAACGATGATCAGATTACAGTCCCCAAACACTAACCTGACCCTAACCTTAAAGTCCCCCCCAAAAAGGCTTTTTATTTAACCCCCCAAACAAATGTGGTTAAATCAAGGGTGTAGATTTGGTTTTGGCATTGGTGGGGACGGATGATTCAACCACCGACCCCTGTCCTGTTTCTTTTTTTTCCTTTTTGTCTTTGTTTCTTGATAAAAAAGGAGAAATATACTTCCCTGCATATGCTATTCTACATGATTTTCAACCATTTAAACTTAAAATTCATAGTTTTGTTAAATTTAAGTCTAAGTCTAAGTCTAAGTATTTTAGAGTTTAGTTTACTTCAGCCATATTCCATATAAATCAGGTATCATACAAAAATAAAAATAGCTTCAAATACAATCATGACAATAAAAGAATATGACTTTAAGGACTTAACAACATTACTTCAGTTATAGTACACCAACATCTCTTATATACATTAGCACTAAGGGAACACTGAATGACCTGCTGGGTTTTGTCCATCTAAGATTACCACAAAGTAAAAGATCTCTCGGCAAAATTATGCAACATTTTAGGCACTATTGCCCCGATTAAGGGAGTGAGCTGGGATGTTTTATTCTAAACATGAGCTACTGTTACAGCAACAGACATGGACTACTGGTGTCCCACACAACAACTCAATGTCCACTATGTGAAGGAGCCACACACACATGCCTTCTCCTCTCGTTAACTGAGATAAACTGCTGGCACATTTGTTTTACATCTATACTGTGAGAGCACTGAAGCTTCTTTCAGCCTCAGCTGAGGATACTGGGATGATGGGATGATGATAATAAATACTATTTAATCTACAGCACCAAATCATCAGTCAGTCACCTGTGACCTCACCTCTGTCTGAGCTACAACATGGCAGAGCTGCCTCTGTCACCTGATAAATAACAATGAGACATTCCAAATACATGCAGTCACACATGTGCTTCAAATACAGTCATGAACCATCAAGTCATCATCCAATTTCACCTGTGATCTTGTGTCACCATTACTCTCTGAGCTCTGTGTTGGTTCTTCTGTCACCTGACAAATAGGACATACATGACAATAAGAATAAAATGTGGAGCTGCTTCAGTGTTTCTGTCAATTTGTGCAAATCTTGACACATCAGTAATGTTTGTAGGGTGAGTGCATTTTTAAAACAATTTGTGCAACTGCACTACAAGGTGGAATATTTGCAAAATCATGGCTACT